GCACACACACACGCACGCACACACACACGCACGCACACACGCACGCACGCGCGCACACACACACACACACACACGCACACACACACACACACACATACACACACACACACACATGGTCACCACTGCAGGGAGCGACGCACCATCGGTTCTTCTGGATCGACATGCTGACGGGAGAGGTGTGCTGGGCAAAGTCGCCCGAAGCATTCTACAAGAACCCAAAGTCAGGTACGGCTCACAACCGTGGTGAAGATGTTGAAGATGGATGCTGGCACAGCGCTTTCCTTGACCATCCGTTCTTACATTTTCACACACACACACACACACACACACACACACACACACACACACACACACACACACACACACACACACACACACACACACACACACACACACACACACAAATACACCGGCACATACACCTACATACACAAACACCTACACAGAGACATACACAGGCACACACAGACACGGACGCACACATGTATTCCTCGTACCGCGTCGAGCATGGCTGCGTGCTGCCTGAAGAATGTTCTCCACAGCACTTTGAAGAGCGCTGTGCCAACAAAGAAGCTCACAAACCCAGACAGCGTCGTCGTCAGCGTCGCAAACAGCATCGGGTCCAAACCCCTGTCTCCACAAAAAGATACAACAGCGGGACATGCGCTGATGGTGAGCTCGTGGGCTGCAGTAAAGAATTAAGCCCAGATCACACGACACACACACACACACACATGCACACATACACACATGGACGAACAGCGAGTTGACACCAAAGTCGCCACGTGCAACAACAGCAAGCGGTCGGAATGAAAAGAAAAGGCAAGCGCAACAAAGCACCATTGAGATTGTGGTTCCCCCCCCCACACACACACACATTTCCTGCCAACTGACATGATGGGCTCGACTTGTTCTGCAGTCTCTGGCATAAGGTTGGGAATTTGTGTTGCGCAGACGTAGGCGGAGCCAACGATGCCTGTGAAGAAGCAAGGGACGCCAAAGAGGTAGCCGCGAATGCTGAGCTTGCGGCGGAGTTTGACATAGTCGTTGAACGGCAGCTGACGCAGCAGCGAGCGATCAACGTTGCGCGCCTGAAGTGCCTCAATCTCCCGTTGCCTCTACACGACGTATCAGCGCACACACGTATAAGGTTTAAGGTGAACGAATGCGATGATGTGAGCGTCAAGCTTGCACGCAAACTGTGCGTGTACATGCACTAACACACCCTAACGCAAACATGCGTACATGAATGCACTCCGATGCAAGCAGAAGCAAGCGTAGACACACACACACACCCACATACACACACCACAAACACCCACCCACTCACACCCACCCACCCACCCACACACACACACACACACACACACACCACAAACACATACACACACACGCACACACGCACGCACGCACACACACACACACACACATACACACCACAAACACCCACACGCAAGCACACATACACACACCTTCTTTTCTTCCTCATCGACAGTGTCTGTCGCCATGTGTCGGGTCATAGAGGAGCCAATGCAGGCGTGCACGGGCATGGGTGTCCGCCTTGCAGCCAGTGCAAGAACACTCTGCTGCCCCTGTGCTGCCATCATCGTTCCACAGCATCGCGCAGTGCTGCGCCTCAACACGCCGCCAAGCAACATCATCGTGTGCTTCTTGCTTGCTGTTCAGTTCTCCTGGATGGGATTGTGGAAAATTACACCAAATCATACTTCAATTTTCCAACACTGCATGTGTGTGTGTGTGTGTGTGTGTGTGTGTGTGTGTGTGTGTGTGTGTGTGTGTGTGTGTGTGTGTGTGTGTGTGTGTGTGTGTGTGTGTGTGTGTGTGTGTGTGTGTGTGTGTGTGTGTGTGTGTGTGTGTGTGTGTGTGTGCTTGTGGGTGAATCCCCTCCCCCATCCCGTCCCGTACACATGGCGCTTGTTCAAAAGACGGGGTGAGGTGGTTTACCGTGTGAGCACGACAGTGTAACGTGTACCCCCTCCCCGCTTTTGAGAAGAGAGGAAGAGAGCTGGATGGCTAACTGCAGGAGAACAGGCAAGACAATTAAGGAAGGCGCACAGAACGGTTGAGAATCAAGTCACAGCGTCCATTTGCTGGTGTTGCTGGCTGGCGTTGATTAAAACGGGCAAGCTGCCGCCTTGATGAGAACAGTTGTACACTTTTACTTCCTGTGGTGTGGTGTGATGTGGGTGCACAGACGTCTGAGTTGGAAAACATGTGCATGCGAGTACGATGATGACCAAACAAGCAAAGGCGAGCAAAGGCGAGCAAAGGCGAGCAAACACCACTGACCTGTGGCTGCGGTTCCTATCTTGCTGGCGGTAGTGCTGTTGCTGGTGCTGCTGTGGGGCGTATGGTGGCTGGCCTGGGATGAGCGGGGGTTTCGATGCTGCTGGCGATGACGAGGGCGGCATTGCGTACTGGGCAGGCATTGGCCACCCCATCATGCCCGGCGCCATCATCGGCGGTGCCACGTGCATGCCGTGCGGGCTGGACGGCTGCTGGATGGGCGACGCGGGCTGCATCGGGTGGTACCCGGCGTGCATCGGGTGCGGTGGCGGCGAGTGGTGCTGGGGCGGTGAGGACGGCACGGGGGCTCCCATCATCGGCGGCGGCACACCTTGCATCATCGACCACACCCCGTTCCCATCCTGGTGATGCAAGGCGCAGGCAGCCACACACATGCACACACACACATGCACACAAGATTAGGACATGGGCACAAAGTAAACTGATGCAAAGCCGCCAGCACAACAGTGTCAAACCAACAGTGTCAACTCAACCTCCCCTCTATCTGTATCAGCGCCATTAAAAACGACGACCACCACCGACCTGAGGCATCTGCATTGGCTGCTGGCCCATCATCCACGGCTGCTGCGGCTGATGTTGCTGTTGATGTTGTGGCTGGTGGTGTTGGTGTTGGTGTTGGTGCTGGGGCGCGGTGAACTGCTGTGGCGGTTGATGCACCCCATAGGTCGGCGCCACTTGGGGCGAGGACATGTTACCACCACCACCGCCACCACCACCATACGCATACGTCTGTTGTGGCGGCAGTGGCGACTGCTGCTGTTGCTGCTGGTGCTGCGGCGGCATGTATGGCATTGGCTGCTGGTGCTGGTGCTGGTGCGAATAGAAGCGTTGCTGCCCCCGTTGGTGGTGCTGGTGGTGTGGCTGGTGGTGCTGGTGCTGTTGCAGTCTGGTCATGTGCATGGCGGTCATGTGCGTCTGCATCATCGCCGCGTACATCTGCTGCTGCGCCATGCGCTGCTGGGGTGTGAGGTCCCGATCATCCATACCGCCACCACCACTGCTGCTGCTGCCACCGCGGTGCCGGCCACCGACGGGCTGGTGTCGATGTCGCCCTCGCCGCACTCTGCCGTCTCCGCCCCCCGACGAAGATGCTGACAGCGACGGTGGCACAGGTGCAGGCGCGCTCCCCACCTCCAACTGCTGTTGGTGTTGCTGTTGATGGTGTTGGTGGTGGGTAGTGGGTGCGGCATTTGGTGCTGGTGCAGGGGCGTCGATGATGTCGTCATTCTCGTCGTCATCATCGCCGTCGCGGAAGATGCGCGCACGTGCACGCTGGTACTCGTCCTCCTTCTCGCTCAGCGTCCTGGCAGCCATGCACAGACACAGCACAGAGGCAGGCAGTGCAGGTTGGAGTCATGTGAGCGCCGTCTTGGTGGGTTAGCACATGTGTGTATGTGTGCATGTGTGCATGTGTGTATGTGTGTATGTGTGTATGTGTGCGCGTGTGTGTGTATGCGCGTGTGTGCAATACGGCGGCAAACCATAAAAGAGCGTGTGGTGCCTACCGTTGGCGTCCTGTTGCGCCATCATCGCTCCCTTCCGCTGCCGCGTCATCCTCCTTCTCACCAGCGCCATTCGGTCCATCTCCCGCCACCTTGGCTCCGTCCTTTGCGTCCCCGTTGCCGGCTGCCCGCTGCGCCCGTGCCGCGCGCGTGTGTTTGCGGCCCTTTGCGTTTGCCGGCCGCTTCATCAGCACAAACGATCCCTCCGCAGCCTGCAAGGGAGGGGTGTGTGCGATGGCATGAGACAGAGCGGGGAAGTAAGAGAGTGAGAGTGAGAGTGAGAGTGAGAGTGAGAGTGAGAGTGAGAGTGAGAGTGAGTGTGTGTGTGTGTGTGTGTGTCTGTGAGTGAGTGAGTGTGTGCGTGTGTGCGTGAAGTTCAGGACGATTCAATTCAACGCTTGGATCACAATGGGACATGCAGACCAGCAGGAGGACATGTGCTGACCTCGTTTGTTTCGTCTTGTTCGGCCAGCAGCTCGTCGATTCGGGGCGACCAGACAGACACGCCACTGAGGCCAAGACAAGCGCGCGAGAAGGCGTTCGTGGTGGCGGGGCGTGTGAAAGGCGGCAGTGCTTGACAACAACGAGGACAAGGATAACAAGAATAACAAACAGCAGTGGAGAGTCGAGTATGTGCGGTGAACGTGCTTACGCGACTTTTGTGTAGACCACGCGTTGGCCGCCCATATCCACCGAGTGGTCGAGGCCAAACAGATCCGCCATCTGCACCACATGGAGCATCAAGGGGGGGGGGGCGGTGTCAGAGGGAGTGTTTGTCTTGTGGCACGAGAGCGTGCGCAGCAACCATGGACATGCACATAAAGATACAGACAGACACACACACACGCGCACAGACACACACACACGCACGCACAGACACACACACACACGCACGCACAGACACACACACATACACGCGCGCGCGCGCACACACACACACACAGGCACATGAACACGGCCCACCTTGTGGCAAATCATGCGGTGATACGACGACATTTCTCCGAGCACGAGCTGTACGCCGTCAAGGTGGCGTGCAAGGGCACGTGAGCGATGCGTTGGGGTGGCGAGTTGTGTGTTTGTGTATGCAAACGCATGTATGTGTGCATGTGTGCGATTGCATATTTGCGTGTGTGGCAGTGTAACAAGGAAAGAGCATGGCTGCTTGTGAGGAGATCAGTTAGAGCTAATAGAAATCGCTCACGGAAGCGAACACCATTGTGCCGCATCACGATAAACGTGGTAATGTATAACTCTCATCACATCTCCGTCACCAGCCACAATATTGCCAAAGGCAGCAAAGAGAGATGGGACAGCATGGAAAACGAATAAAAGCGCAAAGGAAGAGAACGACTGTGCAAGAAAGAACATGGAGGATCAGTTAGAGCTAATAATGATCGCTCACGGAAGCGAACAACAGTGTGCCGCATCACGATAAACGTGGTAATATATAACTCTCATCACATCCTCGGCAAAGACAATGAAAAGAGACGAACGAGAGAGAGAGAGAGAAGGGAGCAAGAAACGCTATCAACGTACAACACTGACAATGCGCAAAGCGCTGTGCTATGGAGGATCAGTTAGAGCTAATAATGATCGCTCACGGAAGCGAACAACAGTGTGCCGCATCACGATAAACGTGGTAATGTATAACTCTCATCACATCCTCGGCAAAGACAATGAAAAGAGACGAACGAGAGAGAGAGAGAGAGAGAAGGGAGCAAGAAACGCTATCAACGAACGATACTAGCAGCGCGCAAAAGCGCTGTGCTATGGAGGATCAGTTAGAGCTAATAATGATCGCTCACGGAAGCGAACACCATTGTGCCGCATCACGATAAACGTGGTAATGTATAACTCTCATCACATCCTCGGCAAAGACAATGAAAAGAGACGAACGAGAGAGAGAGAGAGAGAGAAGGGAGCAAGAAACGCTATCAACGAACGATACTAGCAGCGCGCAAAAGCGCTGTGCTATGGAGGATCAGTTAGAGCTAATAATGATCGCTCACGGAAGCGAACAACAGTGTGCCGCATCACGATAAACGTGGTAATATGTAACTCTCATCACATCCTCAGCAAACGCATTGCTCTAAGGCAGGCAGGACTTGGGAAGGGAAGAGCAAAGCGCCGGTGTTGCTTGAGTGTGTGCGCGATACTTGAAACGTGGCAAAACAGGACAACCAGCGACAACGTATACCTGTCTGACGGGGGCGTGGATGAACTTGTGAAGCTTGTCGCGCACATCCATAATCATTTGGCGATCCCTGCGCATGGTGTGTGGCGTTGCAAGATGCAAGTGGGACCAAGGTGTAGCAAGTTGGTGAGGGCAGTAGTACTATGAGAATGGAGCAAGGGAAGGTGCTTCACATGTGTGTGTGTGTATGCACACATGCATCGCGTACATGCGAGCATGCACAAGATACTTACTGAACGCGCTTGTTGAGCGCGGTTCTCACTGCCTCCTCTGCATCACGAACGGCTGCCGCCCGGTCCTCGGCGCTGACTGTACACGTGGCATGTGCATTCGGCCATGCGTGCATGCGACAGGTAACAACGGATGGTGAGGACGATGGCGAGCACGACGACGACAATAACGACCCGCACCACAAGGCAGCAACAATTGGACCACTGTTTACGCACGCACGCGCATGCACACATGTATGTGGACATACGTGTTGGTTGAGGGTCTGGGTTGGGAAGCAAGGGTGCCTTTGGCGCGAGCTGCTCCTCTTGTTGATGTTGCTGCTGCTGTGGTTGTTGTGGTTGTTGTGGTTGTTGTTGTTGTGGTTGTTGCTGTTGTAGTTGCTGCTGCTCGTCCTTGTCAGTGAGTGTCATGCGCTGCAAGGGTTTCAGCAGCTTTGGCGAACTGCACGTGCACGCATAGCAAAGGGGAACCCGCGTTATCAAACAACATGCACGCGACAGCGGACAGGTGAGGCGCAGCAACAGCCACACAACAGCCAAGTGAGCCGAGTGCAGCAAAACAAGGAAGCAAGCAGGCATGGAGGTGTGGGGTCCAGCACCCACCCACAGCCGACACACCACAACACCACCACCCACCAGTCGTCTGCCATCGTGTGCGTGCGTGTGTTGGTCAAGAAGAAAATTAGCGACAATCTTTCAACAATCGTCCACAGGACGAATGGACCAGCAAACGATCAAGGCAGGCAAGCACGACTGCGTGTGCGGCTCACATCACACGCCTCTCTCTCCCCAGGTTATCGTTCGTTCTCATTCATTCATTGCTTCTCAAAGTCTCAGTGTGTCTATGTCAACCTGTCTTATGAGCGTGTTGCACGAGTCCACCAATCAATACACACAACCAACACCAGAGGAAGGAGGGAATAGCAGACGACATTGCATCCGCTCGCCTCCAAGTTTCACGCAAACAACACACAGACAAGACTGACACAGACACGGCTAAGTCGAGTTTGCCTTTGACAAGGGCAAGGTCACTGCTGTGGGTAGGTAGGTATTGGGCACAAACGGAACACAAAGAAGAAGAGGCGAAAACCACGGAGGGAAAGTCAACCACAACAGTGGCGGAAACACCACAACCACAAACGACGGAATTAACTATGTATGTGCATGTGCGTGTCAGCATGTTCATGGATCGCCTGCAATTAGTCCTCGTCCCAGTTGGGGTTCTGCTTGGGGGGCTTGGGGCCACCTGCCTTCTTCGCCATAATAATCTGTGTTTCAAGGAAAGAGAGAGAGAGAGAGGGGGGGGGGGGGAGGGAGTGGGTTTAGTGTCAACGAAACGAAGGAGTACGACACGACACAGCACCAATTGAGACAGGGACAGGTAAAGCAAGCACAAACCGACACAAACACACAAACACACACACACCTGGTCCACGCGGAGGATGGTCTTGGCGGCGCGAGTGGCGTACTTGAGAGCCCAGACCTTGGCATGGAAGCTGTCATACACACCGGCCTCATTCATGTCTGCGACGGCCACGTCCTCGGACAGGATGTCGTAACCGGCGTTCTTCTCGCCGTTCTCGTGCGCTGCATACAGGTTGGACACAACCTCCCGCGACTTGACACCGCAGTTCTCAGCAAGCGTCGCCGGAACAACCTCCAGCGCCTCTGCATACGACTTGATGGCATACTGCTCCAGGCCTGTACAAGGACGTGCAACAGCATAACGTGGAGTGGAACAGTGAGCGCAAAGCAGACCGACAGTGTGTGTGTGTGTATGCAGGGGAAAAGAGAGGATGGAATGCGGGTTGAAAGACCGCCGAGGGCAAGAGAGAGAGAGAGAGAGAGAGAGAGAGAGAGAGAGAGAGAGAGAGAGAGAGAGAGAGAGAGAGAGAAGAGAGAGAGAGAGAGAGTGTGTGTGTGTGTGTGAGTGAGAGAAAAGGGTTGAGTGTAACTGCCGGCTTACACATGGGAGCGCACAGAAGCAAGGCGACCATGTCCGATTAAAAGGCAGACCCAACCAAATGGTTGATATCACTGTCAATGATGTACATAAAACGAGCAACAGGGTGGGGTACCAAAAGCCCTGCTGCCCGTTCCCTTTGACAGTTTCAAGAACGAGAAGGGTGAAGGAGGAGGACGACGAACAGGAGGCGGAGGAGGAGGAGAGGAGGAAGTTGTGGCAAGTCGAGCGAAAGTAGTGCGAAAAAGGAGGAGGAAGTGGTGGCAAGTCGAGCGAAAGTAGTGCGAAAGGAGAGGAGAACAAGACAAGGAATCGGAATCGGTGGAAGGAGACCATATGGGCAAAGCACGAAGGAACAAAAGCGAAAAAGACACTCGCCAAACACACAACATCATAGACACATACAGGCAAACGCACGCTACACACTGACCAGAGCATGTGTCGCCAAACTTGGTGATGAGACGAGCGAGCTCAATCTCGGTGGCACCGCCACCGGGGAGGAAGCGCTGCTCCTTGGTCAGCGACTTGTAGGCGTTGATACCGTCGTCCAACGCACGCTCAACATCATCCATCACGTTGCCTGAAGAGGTGGACAAGCACATTCACATTCACACGCACACACACACACGAATAAGCAGCCGTAGCAGCAGTAGCACCAAGTGTGAGCACAACACAAGAACGCACACACAAGGCAAGGTATTCGAGAGTCAGCCGGGACGTGTTGGTGGAGGGGAACAGCAACCAGACACAAGGACAAGCCAAGGAAGGAGAAGAAGAAAGGGTGATATGGACTGTAGGACTGAAGCAAGCGAGGGAGCTGGAAACGGAGAGTCCAAAAACAAACAAACAAACAAACAAACAAACGGACAGGCGAGTGACGCAACCACGAACCGCTCGAAACTTGATCCCACAACCACAACCATCACAACGAACAACCACATCAACGGGAAAATGAAGGGTTGTTCGCGGCAAGGTGGACAGCAGCAGGCACGTAACGGGAACGCAGGGGAGCGGGACAGGGCACGCACGCAAGAACCCAAGAATCACACAGTGTACAGCCATGACGGGTGAGCAGCACAGAGCAGGTGTATCAACAAACAGACAGACGGGCTATCAAACGAGAGGGGAGCGAGGCAAGGAGGAAGAAGCGTGGAAAGTGAAACAGAAGTGTCTCACGAAGAAAACACGAACATAGAATCAACAAACGAGGGGATCGATCAAAGACCGTTGGTCACACGTTTGACCGCTTGGTCGCACATTTGTTAGGGTTGAAGTCTTACTTGTTGCGCCACGCACGATGATGGTGGAAACAGCGCTGTTGATATCGGCTTGCCTGAACACGGTCACAGTTGTGTCGCCAATCTGTAACAGAAAGGTACACATGGGCGACATGTGGCGTGGTGAGTGAGGAAGAGGGGGAGGGAGAGATTGTGGTGCACGAAGTATGGTCGGGAACGGTGTATCGAGGAAGAGTGGTAGCGGGGGTTACAACGTCGAGAGAAAGCCACGTTCAGTTCAAAGAAGCACACAGGTTCTTATTCCCACCAAGCACCGCAGGAAGCACGCACCTCCTGCACGGAGACGGAGTGGCAGTGGCCGAGCTCCTGCGAGCTGGGGCCGGTGAGGACGGGAAGCGCGGTGGCACCGGTTGCCCGGCACAGCCGCTTGAGGTCAAACTTGGAGTTGAGCTTGACAACGAGCAGCTCAAACCGGTTGCAGAAGTGCATGCCGAGGTCGCCAACCTTGCCCGTGGTCACAATCACAGACGCACCGCTGTCCTTGATGGCCTTGATCTTCTTCTCGAGCACAGACTCCTCGTCCTTGCTGTACGACTTGAGCTCCTCGGCAGTGTTGAGAAGCACAGTGCCCTGCGAAACGGTATGCGAGGGTGCGAAAGGTAGCATGGTTGAGTTGGGGTTGAGTTGGGCGAGGAGGTGTTGGGGCAGTAGCAACGCAGATGCCCGTGCTTGAGAAGGGAGCACGCAGTAGCTCAACAACAGCAAGGTAAACAAACGATCAAACAAACAAAAAACAAATAGCGTCGAGGAACACGTCGTGCCGCACATAAGCACCCGAGCTAGGGGCTGTTGCTGTTGCTCTGCGTTGCTGTCAGGGCACTGGGAAAGGAGCATGGCGCACCTTTGTCTCGGTGTAAGCGTGGTCGAGATCGGCCGTGAACGCGGCGATGCGTGCGTCCTGTGCAGATGTGATGGAGCTGTGGATGTTGCGGGTGAACACCATGCCGCGAACCACGGAGCTGGAGAAAACGCCGCTGCCGGGGATCTTGACAATGCGCACGTTGTCCACGTTGAAGGGTTTCCTCGACTCCTCCTTGGGCATGATGTCCACGCACGCCTGTAGTTACCAACACAATGGAATGAGGGGAATGAGTGGAAGGGGAAAGGGGGAAAGGGGCACGGTGTCGTGTTCTTGCGTGCATGCGTGCGTGTGTATGTGTGTTCGCGCGCCTCTTGTCTGCCTCCACCACCTTCACACCCCTACTTCACGCGCCGCAAGGATCACATGAACACGTACGTCGGTGACGAGCTCTGACAGGAAGTCCTCGAGACCGTTCTGTTTGCTCATGATGACAGTCTTGATCGCCCGCTTCACTTGCTGTAGATCGGGGAAGGCACGAGGCAAGCAGGGTGCGTGCGTGTGTGTGTGTGTGTGTGTGTGTAAGTACGGATGGAGCTGGCAAAGGTCGGCAGGGTGAGGCGGTGGAAACAACCACCAACCACCAACACAATCAACGCACACATGCACAAACACAAACACATGCACAAACACATACAGCAAGAGCGATCGCAAAGACATGTCGAGTGGAAAACGCACCGCCTTGTCGCGGAAGTCCTCGACTGTGTGGCATGCAAGCTCTGGCAGCACCTCAAGCGCCTTCTCAAGAGCCATCTCGTAACCCTCAATGACCTCAGGAGGCGAGAGACCCTGAATGACAAGGCAGTTGAGTAGTGGAGGTGGCGGCATGTGAGGGCTGTGAAAAGGCCATGATAGGACAAAGTGGGCATCTATCTCATGGGAACCGCGAGTGACGAAGCACCGTAACCAGTGACTGCGGGTGACGGGATCGTAGGCAACGACAGAAGCAGTCAACTTTACCACGTAACACAGCATGTAATCCTGTCAGCACGCACACCCACAAACGCACACCCACACACACACACACAAACGCAAGCACGTACACACGCGAAGCGCACCATGCGGAGAAGCGTCTCGGCCTTCTCGAGCATTTTGCCGGCGAGGATGATGACCAGGTTGGTGGCATCACCGGCCTCGTGCTCCTGCTGCTGCGACGCGAGCACAACAAGCCTGGCAGCTGGGTGTTCAACCTGGGGGGGGGGGTGAGGAAGCAGGGGCGGAGAGGGTTGAGGGTGAGAGTGGCGTGAAGGGAAGGGAAGGAATGAGATGAACAGTGACATGCGATCGTGAATACAGAAAAACACCTCTCGAGCAATCAAGCAACGTAGACACACACACACACAACGCAAACGCACGCAACGACAATAAAGAGGCACCGGCCACACCAAGAGGACAGCATCACAACAAACACATATCTTCATCATCATCATCAACAACAACCACAACAACCACACGCACCGACTATCAGAAATCACGACCACGTCATCAAAGATATGCGCATAGAGACAGGCACACATGCAGGCGAGCCGTTTGCGGACCTCGAGCTCCTTGATGATGGTCGCTGCGTCGTTTGTGACAAAGAGCTTGTCAAGATGGTTGAGGATCATCTTGTTCATGCCGTTGGGGCCAAAGGACGTGCGCACAATCTGAGCAATCTCCTTGCAGGCACCGATGTTGCGGTACACGGCCTCCTCCATACCGGAGTAGTGCTGTCATCATTGATGTGCGAATTGGAAATGAGGGTAGGATAACGGGCAGACACAGCGGAGTGAGCAAGTGACAACGGTGGACACCGCGTCAGCGACCGCACAGGTAACACATCTGCCATATCTCCAAACGCACAGCCATCGCGAACGAACACGTAATCGCAGCACAACGAAAGAGCATGAAGCATCAAACAACGAAACATGAGGGTGATGTGGCGCGTACGTACCTTGGCACCAGACTTCATCATGGTCTGGAGACCAACTTTGGGGACGTGCAGCGCCATGACTGGTTTGATCAGAAGCGGTGGTGGTGTGGTGGGGAGGGAGGGGGTTGTTGGTTGAGGTGGAGTGGGTGGCAAGGTGTGTGTGGTAGGTTGTTTGCCAAGTTGTTGTTGTTTGGTGGGTTGTTTCGCTGTTGCCACAAGAATATCCACGTGAAAGGAAAATCCAAAAATATCTCTCGTGAAAAATCCATCGCCAGGTGTACATGCCATATCTTTCATCACAAATCGACAACGGCAACGGCATATAAACAGGACAACCGATGGGCTAGAAATAGGTTGACAGTTATGTGTGTGTGTGTGCGCGCGTGTGTGTGTGTGTTGTGTGTGTGTGTGTGTGTGTGTGTGTGTGTGTGTGTGTGTGTGTGTGTGTGTGTGTGTGTGTGCTGAAGAGGCTGGGCCGCAGCGACGACAGAGATAGAGACAAAGAGACGCACAACGTCACAAACAAGACAAACGAGCAAACACAAATGACCGAACAGACAAGCAAAGCAGGCGAGCACAGGAAGGCAAGGTGGTGTTCAGGGTGCTTTCTATGCGTTGACGACGACGTCGTGCATGGCTTTGTCGATGGTGGGGAAGGAAAAGGTGAACCCGGAATCAAGGGCCTTGCGAGGCACGACGCGTTGGCCGCACAGCAGCATGGTGGCCAGGTCTGGCCCAAAGAGCGCCCTGATCACAAACGCGGGCATGGGCACAATTGCAAACCGGTGCACGGCCTTTGCAAAGGCTTGCGTGTACTCTGCATTGGTCGCCACGGTTGGCGCAACCTGCCGCGGGTCGAGTTGAGGAAGGGAGGGAGGAGGAAATGAGTGGAGGGGGGAGAAGAGAGTGAGTTGGAGAAGGTGTGGGGGCGTAATGGAAGAGTCGAGAAGGAAGGGCAGATGCACAAGCCACAGCGACTGTAGCGATTCAGGAGACACACATACACACATGCAAACAGTTACACACACACACACACACACACACACACACACACACACACACACACCAGGTTGACGGGCCCTTGCAGGGATTCTGTCTCCATGGCGTGAATGTACATGTTGACCACGTCCTGGATATGACACCAGGGGAAGAGCTGCTGTCCAGAGCCAAAAGGTCCACCCAATCCCTGATGGCCAGTGAATGGTGGTGTGTGGATGGACAAACGTCGCGAATGCGTGAACAAGGGCACGGGTGTGCAGTGTGCAGTGTGGAGTGTAGGGTGTGTGTGGGGGCGGTTGGGAGACCAAGCCAGGACGAGAGCACGTACGCACGCTTTGCATGCA